CTCTCAAAGGTAAGAGATTAGTCATGATTTTGCCAGATTATTTTTTTAAAGTTCTGTATAGCCTGAATTTGGCTCAAATACAAGTGTCCCAAAAAGGCAAAACCTGAGACTTTCTCAAATTCAGGTAACTTGTTTGGGGAAGAAGGTTTGCTGTGAGGAGCAGCAGGAGGAACATTTGATTTGTTTGATTCAATTTAAGTTGTTTTACTAAATCTTCCAACATGACAAAATTTTAGTCATAAAAATGGACTCTACCTTTTGACTTTGTCATCGCAGTCCCAGAAATTTATTCAAAAGGCATAATCTTTTAAGAAAGAAAATGTGATAATACTTCAAAGAAAAAATGATGGAGTACCCATGTGTAATACTAAAAAAAATTAACTTCCCAATCTAATAATGTAGAGGTGGTTATGATGTATCAATTCAGGCTGGACATGATGGATCATGCCTATAATCCCAGCACTTTGGGAGGCCATGGTGAGAGGATCATGTGAGGCCTAGAGTTTGAGACCAGCCTGGGCAACATAGCAAGATCCCATCCCTACAAAAATATTTTAAAATTAGCCTGGCACAGTGGCACAGGCCTGTAGTCCTAGCTTTTTAGGAGCTTGAAATGGGAAGATCCCTTGAGCCCAAGAGAGGAAGGCTGCTACAAGCTATGATTGTGCCACTGAACAACAGCCTGGACAATAAACAGAGAAAGACTTTGTCTTAAAAAAAAAAAAAAGTGGCCATTATTCCAATGCTAAAGAAAAAAATAAATAAGAAATTCAGTAATGTGAAAATACATATGGAAAAGAAAAGATGGAGTAATTTACTGTTGATGGCTTTAACTTTCTTTATGTCGCTACTTAATGGATGTGGCATAACAGAAAGGGATACACATAGGCCCTGGAGCCACACAGTCCTGGAATCCAATCCCTGAACTGTCCCTTTCAGGTTAACAATAATGGAATGAAACACAAAAAACTACAAGTTCATTTGATAAAGAATATGAATGTTTATAAATCAATATTCAAAATAGCTGCACACATCTGTTTTACTTGAATAAAAAAATCACATCGTGACAAATTTTATAACCTTAACTTAAAATACATGAATATTAACATTTACTAATATTTACACATTTATTTACATCATCAACAAATCTGATGAAAAACAGCATATGTTATAATTTTAATACATCAGGCTATGACCAGTCTTTGAAAATTGATCCAGGAATGTGCACTGCATTTAGCTAGAAAACATACTTCAACTTTTTCTCCACCCCTAGGGAATCCCACTATTCACACAAAATATTCCAAGGCCTCAGTTTAAAAAAAAACAGGATTTGTATTTAATTGTAAGGGACTACAAAACCGCCTTGTTTAAAAATATGAAAATTCTTGTGGTATTTTTAAAGCATATGCTTTTAATTTTCACATCAAAATTACTTAATCAAACATTAAGCATCTAATAAAAAGTTATAAATATTCTATCACATATGATACTATGCACTTCATGATTTGAAACAGCTACAAACTAATTCTTACATAATACCTTTATGAGGTAGGGCCAGTAGTAACCCCATTTTACAGAGAAGGAAAATGAGATGTGACTATTTGCTAATGAAAGACTAAAGTTAAATGTCTTAAAATCTACACTTTCCTATTAGTCTATTTAACTTCTTTTACAAGTGAAGAGGTCTATTTTGAGTGGGAGGAAAAAGTGTGTGATTGAGGTATATCTCAGCAAAAGAAGAGAAGTACCTTCTACAATGGATACTTAATTAAAAAAAAAAGGATTATGGGTTACCTGAATGCATTTGCCTAATCAATGGAAGTTACTAACAGAGGACTATAAAATCCTTCAGCAAGACAGTATTTTCCACATTTTAATTTTTCCTGAGGTTTAAATACTATATAGTTTCTTACTCAAAGAACTTCTCAAACTAAGATGTAAATTATAATCCTGATGGCAAACCAAGAGCTCTTTTATCCAGTGGGTTTTATTGCTCTAAACTTCATTTAATTTGATACATACTTCCCCTCTCTGAGCATTAGATAAGTTAATAAAGCATTATAAAAATAAATTTAAAACAAAAAACTAAATAAGACCTCCTTTCAGGTTCTTCTTTGCACAAAGATGTTTCTGTAAACACTTTTAAACCAATATCTTAAAATTCCGAATTATTCAAGTATCTCTCTAAACATATGGCTTCATATATTAGTAAAAATTGAAGCAAATATGTGAAATCTTTAAATCTTCATCTGTATTCCACAGAAAACAATTACAACAGCCACTTGCTTTTTTTAATATCTTCTCAATATTGTTTCTTGAGCACTAGAATTCCAACCTGCATTCTTACTACTTACATTGCAAGACTGAGACTTCCTAGTTTTTCCTGAATTCTCCTTTGTC